CATCTGTGATCATGTCTATTCTGCAGTACTGCAATACTACCTGGTACAAATGTTTGTCAGCAGCTTTAAAATCAAAACTGCTCCACCTGTTAAAAATCTGCTCAAAGATTGTTGGTCAACCCTGTCAGAGACTCTATGACTCAGCCTATCATAACAACCTAGTGATGCTGTCCAACAACATCATCTCTGACCCAAACCATGTTCTGAACAGTGAATATGAACTGCTTCCATCGAATCGGAGATACAGGGTCCCACGATTCAATAAAGTCAGACTGAAGCACTCCTTCATGCATCAGTCAATCCTCACAGTAAACACAGAGCTAAATCCCAGGTCAAATGCACGCTGAAGGCTCTTTGAGCATGTTTTCTCTCACTGATTGTGCTGTTATGTTAAATGCTTGTTGTTTGTGTTTCATGTATTGTGTCTGGATACTTTGTCTGTTGATGTTGGACATGGAGCTGCTGTGACGCAAGTCAAATTTCAGACTTGATCTGACAAATAATGTAATATCGTATCGTAATATCGTATCGTATCGTATCGTATTGCTTTATTCACTAAACGGTTTGTCTGTCTGTTCACAGGAGCGATCACCAGAGGCTGTCGGACATATTTGTTCAGAAGGGTCCTTACCTGAAGATGTACTCCACCTACATCAGACAGTTTGACAACAACGTGGCTCTGTTGGACGAGCAGTGCAGGAAAAACACCGCCTTCGCCGCTGTCGTCAAAGAGTTCGAGGTAAAACTGCAAATACTGCTCTTAATACAAGGATGAGTGAGACAAAGACAATAAATATGTACTGTGTCGGGTACGTGTGTGTGGGAGTTTTTTATTCTAAACCTTTTTTACACTGTTTTTATTCAGTATGTTTTCTAACAGAAGTTAGAAGTCTTTTCTTAATTTTTAATTTTTTACAGCTGTAATACAAGGCTTTTTCTGGTCTATACATTCAATTGGACTAGGCTACAATTTGAATTCCTGTTGTGTCCTTTCAACAACTAATCACTTAGGAAACTCAGTACATCAGCATTGTTTTTAAAGCAGGACTTTAATGGGGATTGTTTATGTTGCTTTATGTGAAAAATACTGTTTTAGATGCATCTACACCTGCACAGTTACTACAGGCTTTTAAATATACTGACGATGTCTGGTGCTTCAATCAAGAATTTGTATTGGTAGCAGCCATTAATTTACTTCTATCTCCAACGGTTAACTTGAAGCGTCTGTGTTCGTTTTGTCTCAGATGAGTCCAAGATGTGCGAGCCTGGCTCTGAAGCACTACTTGCTGAAGCCGGTGCAGAGGATCCCTCAGTACCAGCTGCTGCTCACAGGTACACACACACACACACACACACACACACACACACACACACACACACACACACACACACACACACACACACACACACACACACACACACACACACACACACACACACACACACACACACACACACACACACACACACACACACAGACACACAGAGAGAGAGAGAGAATCCTTGTTTATGTTCTACGATCCTCTGCACACTGAAGGAACTCAGGAACTCTGGACTCAAGTCTTTGTTTTGGTTCCATACTGGCACCCAGTGGAGAGTTGGGGTACTGTAAACCTGAGGAGTTCGACTCAAGACAAATCCTGCAGAAAAATCTTTAATATAGAACATATTTGTAAAAGAACAGCACACTGAAACTTAGGAATGTGAAATAAAACTATTATCATATAATAACGGATGTAATCAAATAAGTTACCTTTTTGTTGTATATCTTCTTATGTTTCCCCAAGGCTGTTGATTTGTTTTTTTTGCTTTATAATAACTTGAAACTTATTTTCCAGATTATCTAAAGAACCTTCCAGAGGACTCTGAGGATTATAAAGACACCCAAGGTTTGAAAATACTCATTATTAACGTTTACCAGGACAATCATATGTGCTAAGAGAAAATGTATGCACAACACTAATGTGTGATCTTTGCTATCTGTGCAGCGGCCCTCGGCATAGTGAAAGAAGTGGCCAACCACGCTAATGACATCATGAAACAAGGGGTAAGACCTTATTCCACATAAAGCTTTAGGTTCTGTCTACTCCAGCCGTGTGTTTCTCCTCACTTCTCTGATTGTCTTTCTCAGGATAACTTTCAGAAGCTGATGCAGATTCAGTACAGCCTCAACGGCCACCATGAGATCGTTCAGCCAGGCAGGGTGAGTATCAGAAATGTTTTTTTAAGGATTTTAAGTTCCTACTGAGGCCGGGAGACTTTTCACACGGGTGTCAATTCTCACAGATGGCTGCCAAATACCAGTTTTACTCATTTAATTGGCCTATTTGTAACAGATACAACAGTGCCATGAATAATGGGGCATGTTCTCGGTGCCAAAAATCACTTTCCATCATTGTGCATTGGTTGTTTAATTCTTTTTATAGACTGATGTTTTTATTCAGCCACTGACTCTACCTGTTTTATGCAGCCCATTTAAAACAAACATGTCTATATTTGCAGGTGTTTCTGAAGGAGGGCACTCTAATGAAGCTTTCCAGGAAAGTCATGCAGCCTCGCGTATTCTTCCTGGTGAGTAATTTAGTTTTAAATATCTGTAAGCTATCCCCTTTTTCCTCTCAAAATGAAGTTCATTTAATTCAATGAATTCTGCGAATCCGTGTTTTCTTCCTAATTGTTTGTGTTTGCTTCAGTTCAATGATGCACTCATGTACACCACTCCCGTCCAGTCCGGCCAGTATAAACTCAACAGCGTCCTCTCTCTGGCCGGGATGAAGGTGAGAGACATCACACTGTGACAGTGGCCCAAACCTATTTCATCCATTTATTTCTGTATGTTCTTTTATTGCTAGCCAGAGGATTTACACAAATAGAACTACAAATACTTGCCTGTTTTGATCCTACATCACTGCACAATCAAATGCCTTTATGGGGGGCATTCACATTGGCTTGTGAAAGAATCTTGTACTTAACTTTTCATTTATATTTCAGTATGAATAAATACACCTGTCATCAGTTTTTACTTCCAATATTTATTTAATATGTTGAGATTTATTTATACTGACATTTCTTCATATGTGTATCTGCATTGAAACATGAATTATTTACGCTGTAACAACAGTGCTCATACATTTTAAAGGTGCACAATCTCTGTTATTTATATAATAAACATGATATATAAATAAATATATATAAATAAACATTGATTGATTGTTATTTATGGATTTCTGTGTTTGTAATTCTCCAGGTGAGTAAACCGAGCCAGGAGGCCTATCAGAACGAGCTGAACATCGAAAGCGTTGAACGTTCTTTCATCCTGTCTGCCAGGTCAGCATGCAGCCTCCGTAATCATCACAGTCTGCACATAAGTAGCTATAAATATTTATAAATGTATTACTTGTGTTTGCTGTAGCTGAGAGTAGCTGATGTGGGTTTATGCTTGCAGCTCGGCTACAGAGAGAGACGAGTGGCTGGAGGCCATCGCTAAGGCCATAGACGACTACACCAAGAAGAAAATCACCTTCATATCCAGTCGAAGTCAGGAGGAGGTAAAGCTACAAATCTCTGCGGGTGTTTGTCGAGTGTATCTGAAAAACATGTCAGGCTGCAGCTACATATTATTTAGCATCCAGGACTGTACTCACAGAAAACCTGCACTCTTTTTACACATCTGCTCACTTATGTAAATATATTTAACATGTTCATTCAAATGCTTAACGTTTTACTTTGATATGTTGTATCAAAAGTTACTTCATCACTTTATTTAGAATTTTTCTGTATTATTATTGAAATGTTTATTCTATTTTATCTTTATTTTTACCTTGTTTGAATCCTGTGTTTCACTCTGACCCTGTTGCTGCTATAAACGCCTGAATTTCCCCAAGGGGATAAATATAGCTCCATCTTATCTTAAATAACAAAGAAAGGTAGAACATCCTGCCATTAAACAGGCTGGAATTGATTTGTTAACCCTGCTTGAAAAAGGACGGACAAGATTAATCGATTATCCAAATATTTACCTTTTTTCTGCAAAAACACAACTTTAAATCTTCTTTTTACCATAAATATGCTGATAATTTTCCTTTTAAATTCAACAAAAAAATATTCTAGCAACTCTAAATCTGTTATGATGTCCATATTAAACAAAATTAGGCTAAACTTGACTAAGTCCTTTACCTTGAGAAAAGCATTTAAAAATGTGTTATCGAGTAAGACGGAGCTATACTATATTAACCCTCGATTGAAAGCTAGCTGTAATAACAATAATCATCTGTGTTCTCGCAGGCGGAGTGTGTGGTGGACACCGGGGCCCCGCTGGGTTCGAAGGCTCCGATCTGGATCCCAGACCTGAGGGCCACCATGTGCATGATCTGCACCTGCGAGTTCACGCTCACCTGGAGGAGGCATCACTGCCGCGCCTGTGGACGGGTCAGTACCACTCCGCTCCTCCTGCAGCACATTCCTTAAATAATTAACCCCCCCCCCCCCTCATTTCTTCATGTTCAGTACATGTGGTGTCTGCAGGTGGTGTGTCAGGCGTGCTCGGCCAATAAGTACTACCTGGAGTACCTGAAGAACCAGCCGGCACGTGTGTGTGATCACTGCTTCGTCAAACTGCAGGAGAATAGTGAGTAAAGAGGGGGTTTTCTGAATTCAGCTGCAAAATATCTGATTACAATTCTTACCAAATTGCATATTTCAAAACCAATAACGCAGTTGTGAAATGTTACTAAATACTGTACTTGACTACACATTTTAGGTACCTGTAATTGAGTATTTCCATTGTATGCAACTTTATATTTCTTCTTACATCTGTAAGCTAGGATTTAAAAGACTTATTCAGGGACTGAATAACTCATTTTAGATTTTTGTCTTTTCATTGGATTTGTGACTACTGACAAAAACAAAAATACGGAATACCATCTTTAAAAACGTAACCTTTAATATTAAATTGATTATTTCCTTTTAGTAGAATCTTAGTCATTTAAGTCTTTTTTGTTTATTTTCATTGATTTCTTTTTTTTTGTAGGTGACCGCTGTGCTTCAACATCAGTTTCTCCAATTAAACCTGGAGCTTTCTCCTTCACCAGGAAACAGAAGAAGATCCCTGCTGCACTAAAAGAGGTGAGAAACAAAGATCTACACAGCTGGGATACTCTTTATGACTAAGATTTGGTGTAATCTTATATTTAGCGAGTAAATGTAACCCGATTTATTTTTCTCTTGCTGTTTTTTTTGCAGGTATCCGCCAACACTGAGAACTCCTCGATGAGCGGCTACTTAAACCGGTCGAAAGGATACAAGAAGCAGTGGAAGAGGCTGTGGTTTGTCATCAAGAACAAAGTCCTGTACACCTACGCTGCCAGCGAGGTACTGACACGGTGTTATTTCTCATTTTACTAAACTGAGTAGCTTTTTGTATCTTTTTGATTGAGTAATTGTTTCTCCCTCCAGGATGTTGCTGCGTTGGAGAGTCAGCCCTTGCTCGGGTTCTTCTTGAGAGAGGAGAAGAACGGGCCGGCTCAGAAGCTGCAGTTTAAGCTGTATCACAAAAACACGCTGTTCTACATCTTCAAAGCTGACGACATCCCTACCGCACAGAGGTATCTGCACTGAAAATGGCAGACAGCGCCTGAAGATTACAGTCCTATTTGTTAGAAATACAGCAGAAGAGCAGTTGGTCTATGTGTTTACATAGCAGATAAACACTGACATTGGTCTAATAAAGAAGTAATTAAAAAAGTTAAATTTATTTATTTACTGTAATACCTGCATTATTTTTGAATTACATAAATAATGTGTAATGTCCAATAGTTTGAGTAAAGGTAAATAATACAATAAATGGGAGGGGCGCACTTTCAATGTGGTCGAATACACATTTACTGCTTCACCATGTTTGACCAGTTAGATGCTGTTATTGTGAAGCAGCAGTAGTAGTAAATGTTAGCCTTTCATAGCGGTTAACAAGAAAGAAAAAAAACAGGAATGGCGTACTTGCTACTAAAAAGTTAAAACTACCATATAGCGAAACTTACTACAGATTGTTTTATGTTGTATGTAAATGCCTTTTGCACAATCAAATTTAAAGACAAAATATAGATATTTCTTCCCCAAATATACATTATTTATATTAGAATGTGTTGGTCCCGATGTTAGCTAATTTTCTGTTTTCTATTTTTCTCTTTAGATGGATCGAAGCCTTCCAAGAGGCAATGATCCTCGAACAGTAATTGTGTTTTGGCAGCCTTGAAGTCACATCACAGCCCCGGAGCCAGTGGATCGAAAACGTACGACCCCCGGCTGATTTCAGGTCAGGGGTCCCCGCTCAGGAAGGACTCCGGTCGGACTGTTCACTTTAAAACAGAAATACACTGCAGAACATTACTGTATGTGGGTGGGGTGGGGTGGGGGGGGAACCTGACTCTAAGGACTGGAATCTGTTTTCCTATACATTATTTTCTACCAACAATAGCAGCTGAGGTCAGAGTTAATAGATGTTGCAGCTGCGGGTCAAAGGTCAAGTCCAGAAGCACGTCTGTGGAAGTGAGACAGATCAGTGGTCAGGGTTAGGAAGTCTGGGAAATATATTTAACTGCAAACGGATGAAGGAACTACTTTTTGTGTGAAACAAAATATACAAAACTATGCGCATTCCTTCAAGCATGTTGACATTGGCTACAATAAGTATTTTAAATCCTACTGTGTGATTTTTCTTAAAGGGATAGTTCGGATTTTATGAAGTGACTATGTGTGCGTTTCACTTCGGTTAAATGGATTCCTTGCGTCCCTCACTTGCGTTGTTTCCCTGCGACTAGTCCCTCCCACCAGGGAAGCATGGAGAGACGCAAGGAAACCACGAGAAGCAGGGAAATGAGTTTTAAGAGCAATGGGACGGACAAGCGTTTGTGATGACGCCGCACAGCTGATCGTCTGACAGCAGCCAGATCAGTGCATGCGCTGCATCGTCCAATCAGTGAGCGATACACAGTAAGGGGGCGGGGCGAGTGTATGAGGATTTCACTGGAGGATGGTCTGGTAGTTTCTCGATTATCGCTCCTCAATCCTCGGTCCTCCGGCACAAATAAGGCCACTTGGACGCTACTCAAAGTGGCGCAGACAAATCAACTTCCGGTGATACCGAGACAGAGGAGCAAGGAAATGAAAAATAAGAGAAGTGAAACGCACCCCATGAATGAGTACCTTATAAAAGCCCACTGCAAAAGATCAGAACTATGACTTTAATGCAAAATCTCAAGATGCAATTTTCAAATACACATCTCAAAATATTCCACATTGTAACATGTCATCTCAATCATGGTTGCACAGTATTGCGGATGTCTGTTTAAGAGTTTCAGGATTTAACAAGGTGGGATTTTACTGTGAAAATCCGCTCTTTAAAGAATCAGGAGCTGTTCTGCTCTTTAGTTTGATCTCTCTGGTTAAGAGATTTAACTCCTATATTTTTAAAGTTAACATACAAAACATTCAAATGATGGTTTTAAAAACGACATCCTGGAGAAAACTGGAAATGTCACGAATAATGTAGATATTTTTCATACATTTTTAAATGTATTTTTGCCTGTTTAGCCACATTAGAAATGGTTAATGGAAAGAGCAACATTGACCTTTTTTATATCAAAGCCGAGGGCTAATATTTATAAAATAGGAAGATTTATTGTTTTAAAAGCGCAGGCTGCGACTTGTTTTGGGAGTCAGGGTTTTGTAGGAAATATGTTTCCATCAGTTATTCTTTTAAAACTTAAAAGGTAACTTTTTAGAAAAAGATTTTTTTTAAATACTGTGGAAAGTATGCATTAACTATATTTCTAAGGAAATGCTCCAAAGGAAGAAGACATTTTGAATTGTTGTAGACATTTGTGCCTTTTTTATCTCCTGCTTTGAGAATAATTGCAATAATATAGGTGCTCTGTTTGACAGTCTTCACTAAATCAGGACACATTTAGGCACCCAGTTTGCATGACTACTCACTTTCTAACCAGGGTACTCGAGGTTTGTAGCTTTACAAACGATCATTTATCAGGTCGGTTTCTTCTTGGTTAGGTTGCCATATGTTGCACTACCCCATTATTTCACAGTGGGAGGAATCCAAATCCTGCTTTCTTTTAGTGAAGGAATAAAACGTTGAATTCTGTCTTTGTAGCTCTGACTGCTATTGTGTCTCATTCAGATGTGTATGTAGTGGAAATGAATCAGTAAACAGTTTCCCAGGATGCATTTCCTCATGATTGTACATTAACAGTGACCATTTGTAAAGGTCTGCTCTATCAGAGTTAGAGTCTCCTATAAACAAGGATTTTAAACTGTCAGGCAACAGTTTTAAATAAAGTATATATATAAAAAAGATCTTGTCCTTCTGTATAATTTCCTGTTTTTTGCTTTAAAGTGAACTGCAAAACCCTTTTCTCTACTTAATCACCAGAATGTGTGGAAGGCAGAGTTTATATCTTTGTGTAAACAAACAAACATATAAACTATATATCAATAAATATGAATAGGTAGACACAAACAAGATGGTAAGTCTTATGAGGTGTCTGATGTTTTGTATGTGTTATAAACAATCACATTTAAATCAACTCAAATCTGATTTTAGCTGTATTTTTAAATTAAGCTTTTCCTCAAAAATAAAATTGTCTGTCATATACAGTATGAAATCATATTTGCACATTCCCCAGAATATAATTTGCACACTTTTTAAACATTTACACGGGATGACGTATTTCCATTTCCGGCTAATTGAGCGTGTGGTTGTAAACTTCCGGTCTACGGTAAAGCGGTAGAGGGAAGAGCGATAGATAGCGTATAGATAGCAATAGATAGCGAGAGATATAGCAATATAGCATATCATTTTGAAGAGATAATCCATCCCAGGATTAGGGTTAGGGTAATGTTGTGAATCGAGTGACCTGTGTTCGTCGTCCATAACATACGCCTGCCCATACCATAACCCCACCACCACCATGGGCCACTCGATTCACAACATTACCCTAACCCTAACCCTAACCCTAATCCTAACCCTCACACCAGATACTGACTGGTTTTCGGACCCCCCCAGACCCCCCCAATAACTCACATGTTGTCTTTGTGACAAACTTTACTAACCTGTGCTTTTGCACTTTCCCCTTACCGGGATAATAGACTAGAAAAGCGGGGCTGCCTTTGTCATGCCCTACAAAAAATCCTTTCTCACACCTGGACTCGAGTTTTCCTCTGTCCTGTTGGTAAGCATAACACACTGACCCAAACTTGTGCATCCTGGCTAGATCACACCTTTTTCCTGTCAGTGCTGTATATGGGGTGGTGCCCATGTGCTTGTTAAAACACCGATTTCTGGTGTAAGCTGCTTCTTGGACCGCATAATGCCATAGACTCTTAGGTAAGTTACCGTCTATTAGCTTACACCTAGCCATTTCGAAAAGAGTGCGCCCTTCCCTCTCAGCTATCCCGTTCTGGTGCGGGGAGTAAGGACAGGACGTTTCGTGTCTGATCTTGTTCCTTCTCAGCAGTGACTGAAACTCTCTATTTGTAAACTCTGTTCCGTTGTCGGACCTCAGGCATTTTACGCTGCCATACGGAGCTACATCTGCAAGGAATTTCTCTGTGGCCTGAAGTGCGTCACTCTTTGCTTTGAGAAAGTAAACAAACACTGCCCCTGTACACACATCTGTGAAAGACTGCATATATTTAAAGCCACCTATGGACTCATTAGTTACTGGACCGGCTAGATCTGTGTTAACTAGCTCAAGTGGTGTCTTTACTTTTTCTGTGGGACCTCTGTTCCTTGTTTGAGTGAACTTTCCCTTTATACACACATCACATTCTTTGTTAGGTCTATGCTTTTCACCGTTAATGTGCATGCCTACTGTTACCGCCTGCAGCTTCAGTATATCCTCGTAATTACAATGACCCATGATCTCATGCCATGTCTGAATATCATGACTGACATTACACACATCATTTTCATTACATTCTGTTTGTAGATAATACATTCTCTTGTACACCTCAATGTTAAATCTCGTACCGTCAGGCTCCACAAGAACATCGTTACCTTCATTGAAGAACACCTTGGCACCATTTGCAGTAGCAGATTTTACAGAAAATAGTTCTTGGGGGAACGAGGGTATGTAGAGGGCGTTCTTCAACGTCACTGTACACCGGCGCCCCTCACTGTCTATGAGGCATACCTGTGCGTCTCCTCTCCCGTGCGCCAACCCGAAAGTGCGCTTCCCGTCTGCCAGCTCCATGCTGTGTCTCTCCGGCTCGAAGGTGCTGTCAAAGTTCTTGAATCGGTTCCTATCGTTGAGAATGTGGGACGACGCACCTGTGTCCACGATCAGTCCCTTCCTTTGGGCCTGCTGCTGCTGCGCTAACCAGCTGGCGTATGCTCTCTGCGCCCCGAAGGTGAAGTCCTCTCTTCCCGCTGCTCTCCGGGCGTCATCTCGACTCGCCTCACGTCCACCGCTGCCGCCATCTTGTCCACAGCCGCCATCTTGCACGTGCGCGTACCGAGCGCTCTGTTCGCGCTTCTTTCTACACACTCTATCTGCTTGTCCCGAAGTTTTACAGAAACTACACCAAACAGTTTTTGTGCAATTATCTTTTCGGTGACCCTTTTCTCCACATCGCCAACACGCCATCTCCGTCGGGGGTCCGGTCTTTTTCTTTGGCGCTGCTCGGGCCTTCATTACCCTTTCTCCCGCCTCCTCGGCGACCGGGTCTGAGTCTTCTGAGGCCTCGTAGTTCCGCAACTTGACCTTGAACTCCCCCAGCGACATGTCCGCTGAACCGTGCGTCACCAACAGTGTGAACGGTTTATACACCTCCGGTAGTCCCCTCATAACCATCGCCATCATTAATCCATCGCTCGGTGCTTCTCCTGCACTTTTCAGCGCCGTGATGATCTGCTCCGCCCTGATGACGTATTCAGTCACCGTCTCTGTGTTAGCTTTCTTCAGCGCGGTCAATGTTATATACAGGGATACAATCCGGGGCCTACCTCTGCCGATGTAGTGTTCTCTTAACACTTTTAGACTCTCTCGGCCTTTGTCCTTTGTGTCCTGGAATATCAGCCCCAAGCTCGTGTTGTCTAGGAGTGGTGCTAGCTCGCAGTATGCGTCGGCGTTCAGCTTAGTATCCAGGGCTCGCGCGGCCTCCGTTATTTCTCCCGTGAGGCCCGTCAAAATTGTCTTTTTCAGCCCCACTCCGTGCATACAGCACAACATCCGCTCTTCCCAGAGCTCGTATTCTTCTGCCCTTCCGTCAAACGTGGGCCACTTGCTTCTGCCTCTGGTCGCCATCTTTTGATTGTAGCTTAGCTTAGCTGCCCGTTAGCTTAGCTTTAGCGTCCCGCGGTTTTCCCGCCGCTAAACTAGCCTAAACTTTTCAGCTAACTAGCTATCGTTATTTCGCTCTTCCGTGATCTGGGCCCATAACCTGTTGACAGAGTCACATGTATAGCAATAAACTGGTCATGAAGACGAGGTCTTCTTTAGCCTTAACTGGCGTGGTTTATTTTCATATGAGCAACTTGACCTGCTCTCCATGAGAGCTAGAGAGAGAGAGAGAGATAGAAGGGGAGGGAACAATCCCTTATATCTGATATCTGACGTCAGCTACAATAGCTGCGCCTCCTTACGCCTATAGCGCCCTCTTACGGCCCGTCTACACTACAGGCATCAAAAAATCTTGAAGCTGGGCGTGT